GCTGGGATTACAGGCGTGAGCCACCACGCCCGGCCCTCTCTGTCCTTTCTTTTTGGACCTTTTGTTAATTGCATATTAGAACTCCTGGATTGATTATCTAATTATTTATATTATTTTCCGTTTGCCATTTCTTTATTCTAGATTCACTTTATCTTTTAACACTTCTGTTGAGGTTTAAAATTTTTTCACTATCGTGTATTTAATTTCTGATTTCAGTATTCTTATTCACAGGTAGGGTTTGGTTTTGTTTTGTTTTTAAGGTTTTTTTGTTTTGATCCCTGAATGTATCTTCTTTGATCACTCTGAGAGAATATTATTTATAGTTTTGTCGTATTTGCTTCCTAAATTTTCTGTGTCCTTTTAGTTTCTTTTTTCTGTGCATTTGTGTCTTTTGCCTTTCATGTTAAAATCTTTCCTCAAATATCTGGTGGTCCTTTAGGAGTAAGGACTGAAACACTGGAAATGGAGCTGACTGGGTGATGGACCTCTCAGTTTTTTTATTGAGGAAAAAAAATATTTTATTGAGGAGATACCAAATATCCTTATTAGTAACACTTTTCTCTAGGGAAGCTTGATTTCCCAGAGATGTCTTTTGCAGTCTCCATCTCCTAAGGGTAGAGACCTGGCTGCTGGGATTTGGGGAGCTGCACAGAAAATCAGCCAAAGGGTTCTCAAGTGTGGAATATACACACTTTCCCTCAGTGCTCTTGCTTACAGTTATTTCATCTGCCTGGAATCCCCAGACCCAAAGCCGCTCTGATTCCATTTTGCTGGGAGTAAACTCCCATCTCCTACTGGAGTAAGGGCCTGGAGCCTGTCCTTATACAGACTTTCCACTAGGTTTCCTTGTTGTTTCCAGCACATTCATCATCTCCAGCATTTGCAGAACCTGATGATCTCATTTCTGAGCCTTTCCAGGCCCATGAGTCCTCTCGTCTACAGATACTTTTAGGTCACCCCTTCCTATCCTGCTAAGTCAGAAGCCACTCAGTCACTTTATTTCTACATACAGTATATTGTGGATAGGATCAATGGTGGCACCTAGTTCCATCAAAGGTGGAGAATTCTTTTTTTTTTTTTCCCACACAGGGTCTTGCTCTGTTGCCCATGCTGGTGTGCAGTGATGTGGTTGTGGTTCACTGCAACCTCCACCTCCCGGGCTCAAGCGATTCTCCCACCTCAGCCTCCCGTGCAGCTGGGACCACCGGCATGTGCCACCATACCAGCTGATTTCTTAAGGTTTTTGTAGAGACAAGGCTGATCACAAACATCTGGGCTCAAGCACTCCGCCTGCCTCAGCTGCCTGAGTCACTGCACCCAGCTCTCAGGCCACCCTTTAGTGTTTAATGTCACTCTGCTTTAGATGGTAGTTGGAAACAGTATTGTATTTCCCCACGAGGCTGTAAGGTCTCTGAGAGAACTTCAGTGAGTCTGAGTCATTTTGTGTAACTCCCTAATGACTGAGAGAGAAAGCTATTATTTAGTTGAATTGTGATGAATTCTGTGAAGATACAAACTTTTTTATACTTTAAACTATACATAGGTAGTTGATAGACAGTACAGACTATATCTAGCAGGCATAAACTATATTTAGCAGGTTTGCTGAGTCTCATTTATGGCCCTTTCTTCCTGCTCTGTCTACCAACTCCACAGCTAACCGTGGTTTCTCAATTGGGATCGGTGACGTCACACCTGGCCAAGGACTGCTAAAGGCCAAGTATGAGTTGCTGAATGCTGGCTACAAGAAATGCGATGAGTACATTGAAGCCCTGAACACGGGCAAGCTGCAGCAGCAGCCCGGCTGCACTGCTGAGGAGACCCTGGAGGTGAGCCTGGCCCTTTGGTTCAGAGCCGCCACTCTCCGCACATGGTGGCTGAGATGGTGCCCTCTGGGGTTGTGCTGAGCCACAAAGAGAGGTAGCAAAGGAGTGGGCAAGTCAAGGCAGTGATGTCTGACTTGTCAGGGCCCTGGGCTTGCTGTGTGTGTTCTCATTTGTTTCCTGAGGGTAAGGCCTTTCATCAGACCCTCACGTCCCTCCCAGCTGTCACATTCCAGGTGGTGAAAACGGCCATCTATTCGTTCGGCCACACGGGGCTGCTCTTGTTCCGGTAGCACACTCAGACCGCTTCTGTAACTGGTACTCGAAGGCTCCTGCCGTTTGTTTTCAGCATCCTATAGGTAGAAACTGACACCACAGCTCTTTGGAGTTTGTTGTTGTTGTTGTTTTTGAAACAGAGCTTTGCTCTTGTTGACCAGGCTGGAGTATAATGGTGCAATCTCAGCTCACTGCAACCTCCCCCTCCCGGGTTCAAGCAATTCTCCTGCCTCAGCCTCCCGAGTAGCTGGGATTACAGGCATGTGCCACCATGGCTGACTGATTCTGTATTTTTAGTAGAGACAGGGTTTCTCTATGTTGGTCAGGCTGGTCTTGAACTCCCGACCTTAGGTGATCTGCCTGCCTCAGCCTCCCAAAGTGCTGGGATTGCAGGTGTGAGCCACCATGCCTGGCCTCATTTTTTGTATTTTTAGTAGAGACAGGTTTCACCAATGTTGGCCAGAATGGTCTCCATCTCTTGACCTCATGATCCACCTGTCCTGGCCTCCCAATGTGCTGGGATTACAGGTATGAGCCACTGCACCTAGCTGGGTTTTTGTTTTTTTAAAACTGAGTCTTGCTCTGTCACCTGGCTGGAGCACAGTGGTGCAATCTTGGCTCACTACAACCTCTGATTCCCTGGTTCAAGCGATTTTCCTGCCTCAACCTCCAAAGTAGCTGGGATTACAGGCACACACCACCACACCCAGCTAATTTTTGTATTTTTAGTAGAGAACGAGGTTTCACTATGTTGGCCAGGATGGTCTCGATCTCCTGACCTCGTGATCCACCTGTCTCCACCTCCTAAAGTGCTCGGATTACAGGAGTGAGCCACCGCACCCAGCAGGTTGTTCATTTGTTTGTTTGTTTTAAGCCAGAGTCTTGCTCTGTTGCCCAGGTAGGAGTGCAGTGGCGCAATCTCGGCTCACTGCAACCTCTGCCTCCTGGGTTTAAGCAATTATCCCTGCCTCAGCATCCTGAGTAGCTGGGATTACAGGTACCCACCACCATGCCCAGCTAATTTTTTTTGTATTTTTAGTAGATACGGGGCTTTGCCATGTTGGCCAGGCTGGTCTCGAACTCCTGACCTCAGGTGAACCACCCACCTCAGCCTCCCAAAGTGCTGGAATTATAGGTGTGAGCCACTGCACCTGGCCTTACCACGGTTCTTTGAATATATGATCTTTGAAAGAGACCTGGATGCAGAAGAAGGAAAATTCATGTCAAATAGTCACATTGTTAGCCTATGCCCCTCATTTGAAAGTAGCTTAGCTGAAATCTCAACCAGCATGGGTCAGAATCAGTATCACTGCCAGCCTGTAAGAACCAGAGACTCCCTCAAGCAGCGAGGTCAGCACTCTGAGTGCACCAGACTTTCACCTGGCCGTCTTCTGCCTCACCAATAACCTGTGGCTCTGAGCTTTGACTCACCTGAGTGTGGAAGAAAGGCCCTTTAAGCAGTGGGAAGTTTTCTGATGAAATACATTTTCTAAAGCAGGGAGAAACCAGAATGGTGTGAAGTATTTACCATTAGCTCATTCTTAATCTTACTCTTACCGAGTCATAAAGAAAGAGAGAGAAAAGGATATTTCTCACTGGTACCTCCTAGAAGATTACTTGAGGCCTCAGCAGCAGCAGTTTTTAATGGAACCAGACTCCTAACTGATTCAGCATCCTAGTTTGTAAGTTGAGGAGTAACTGTGTGGATGAGCTCATGAGCCAGAATATTCTTGTGAAGTCATCTCATCACATGCCTGGCTTGTGGGCATTCAGATGTCTGCTTGGCAAGAATAAGTAGATAGACAAATTTACAAACAGTACAAGCAATTCTCTTTTACATACTACATATTATACATATATATAGGGGTATGTGTGTGTGTCCACACAACTATGTGTATACAATGTTTTGTTGTGTAGGGTAATATACACAAAGCCATACATTCTACCTGATGGGCCATTTAAAGGATTTTTCAAGTTTTTTTTCCTGTCAATTTTAGGCCAGGCTTGGTGGCTTATGCCTATAATCAAGGCAGGAGGATTCCTTGAGGCCAGGAGTTCAAGACCAACCTGGGCAGCATAGCAAGCCCCATCTCTACAAAAAAAATTTTTTTAGTTAGCCAGGCATGATGGGGACATGTACCTGTAGTCCTAGCTCCTCAGGAGGATAGGGCAGGAGAATCGCTTGAGCCCGGGATTTTTGAGGCTGCAGTGAGCTATGATCATGCCACTGGACACCAGCCTCAGCAACAGAGTGAGACCCTGTCTCTAACAAAAATAAAAAAATAAAAACTTTTTGCCTTAGTGATTTTAAAACCTTGTAGAAGATGCACGTGTTTGTATAGCCGAGGCATTTTGCTCCTCTAAGGTTCTGAAACATTTATTGATTGAAAATACTGAGGCAAGGTAATTTTCAGATTTCTTTAAATGTCAGATTGAGCATATGTAATCCACAGAGGCAATGAGGACAACCCACCAAGGATCTCCTTTTCTCCCCCTAGGCACTGATCCTGAAGGAGCTGTCTGTGATCCGAGACCATGCTGGCAGTGCCTGCCTCCGGGAGCTAGACAAGAGCAACAGCCCCCTCACCATGGCTCTGTGCGGCTCCAAAGGTGTGCATAACCCCTCTCTTACCTGATGGCAGTGTGTTCTCTATATAGGCTGGTTTGGTTCCAGAAAACGTAATAGTCACAACTTCAAACAGGCATTTCATTTACTTAAGGGGATCTTTTTAAATCGGAGAGAGACTTAATTATTTGCATTTGGGTAAGTTTAACTGTTTTGGAGGAATTTGTTGGTAATGTGTGGATTCTGAGTTTGAGGGTACTTTGAGCAAATGTCTTTAAAAGAAGAGGCCACCTGCTGTGGCTCATGCCTGTAATCTCAGCCTTTGGGAGGCCAAGGCCGATGGATTGCTTGAGCCCAGGAGTTCGAGATCAGCCTGGGCAATATGCCATAACCCCAACTCTACCAAAAATTAAAAAAAAAAAAATTAGCTGGGCACGGTACCATATGCCTGTTCTCCCAGCTACTCAGTAGGCTGAGGTGGGAGGATCACTTGAGCCCAGCATGCTGAAAAAGAAAGAAAACTAGGAATTTTGTAATGTACTGAATGATGTGGCAGAATTCTTTACTTTTGTAGATACGGGGCCCTCAGAGCATTCGGTTGTGATAATGCATTCAAATTCAAAACCTCCATGCTTCTATTTCTGTACCCCCTTTTTTTTTTTACAGGATAAAGTCCAGCCTCTTTAACTTTGCTGGCTTTTACCCCATTGTCTCCTGCTTCCTGCCCTCAGGACATGCCCCACACTTTCCCATTCCTCTGTCTTTGCTTCCCACTTTCCCACCCACTTTGGAATTCCTCCCCGTCTCCCTTTATGTCCTGATCATAATGTCCTCCAGGAATCCAACCTGGACTTGCTGAGGCCTCCTTGAAGACTTGCCTGTCACTTCCCCAGCCTTTCCTCCGACCCACACATGCTCCTGGCTCCTCTTGCCCTCATTCTGTCTTTCTCGTGTTCCTGATAGTTCTGTGTTGTCTCGATTGTATTTCTGCCTTCTACTGTTCTGGGACCATGACCTTGTTGAGGATAAGGGCCTATGCTCTTCTTATTCCTGTTTTTCCCTTCTGATCTTCTTGAACTTCAATTAGTGTTATTTTTGTAAATGAATGTTACATTTCTGGCCCATGTTCCCAGGTTCCTTCATTAACATATCACAGATGATTGCCTGTGTGGGACAGCAGGCCATCAGTGGCTCTCGAGTGCCAGACGGCTTTGAAAACAGGTCCTTGCCTCACTTTGAAAAACACTCAAAGGTAAGCAGTAGCAGACCAGGTAGAACTGTGAAGGCCACTTCATCTACACTGTCCTCCAAGAAACACAGACCTATCCAGATCAAAGACTGTTGGTCAGTTTCATGTGGAGCTTTACATATGTATTTTTTTGCCATTCTGTTAAGATGTACTTCAGGCCGGGCATAGTGTCTCATGCCTGAAATCCTAGCATTTTGGGAGGCCAAGGCAAGAGGATTGCTTGAGGCCAGGAGTTTGAGACCAGCCTGGCCAACACAGTGAGACCCCATCTCTACAAATAAATAAATTTTACACTTAATCTTAGCCAAAAGGCCAAGAAGCAATAAAACAAACTTCAAATACATGTAAACTTCCTATGTAATTATTACAATAATACTTCATATGTAATTCACCCATGTAAGGCATATAGTTCGGTGACTGTTAATATATTCACAGAGTTGTGCAGCCATCACTACAATCTACTTTTATAGAACACTTTCAGTGCCCAGAATGAAACCCTGTAGACATTAACAGTGTGTGGTTATGTTTTGGAGGCAGGCAGGTCTGGCCCACAGGAAGGATGTCTTGAAGGTGTCATTTCCCGGGGAATGGGCAGGCAGCGGCCATCCACAGGGTGTCCTCTGAGGTCCTTGACTGCTTGCCTGCTTTAAGAAGAGGAGCCGGATCTTAGGATTCCCTCTCCTGGGCCACTTGCCTGCCACTGGCACCAGCACCAGCTCCGGCTGGGGCCTCATTCTCCTTGTTGCTGGTACAGTTGCTTTGTCCAAATTATTTCTCCACATAGATTATTTCAAGGGCATTGAAAGCCTACCATTTCATGAGAATACTGGCCAGGTATTTATAGTCTCAAGGTGGTGTACTGATTTGAGTGGATTTCAGAATCGTGGGCCTTGAACTTTTTTTTTACTTTTCTTTTTTTTTTCTGCCTCTCTTTAGCTCCCAGCTGCCAAAGGCTTTGTGGCTAATAGCTTTTATTCCGGTTTGACACCAACTGAGTTTTTCTTCCACACAATGGCCGGCCGGGAAGGTCTAGTCGACACGGCTGTAAAGACAGCTGAAACGGGATACATGCAGGTAACCTGAAGAAATGTAGGCCATTAGCAACAGAGCAGGACAGGGCTCTGTGGGTTTTGACTGTTGAATGTTTGCACATTTTGCACATGAGCTATAATTTATCTAGTCTTGCGTTAAATTTAAAAGGAAAAAATTAGAAAGGTAGATGCCCTGGAAATGAACAACCAAAAAAATGGAATGTTTTCCAAATCATCCTGTGTCCCTTGAATGATCAAGACCAAGGCAGAGCCAAGCATAGCAAAGCGCTATTAGAGGAGGACATGGCTGGAAGTACGTTGTGGGACATGTCATTCAACTTCACTAAGCCTCGCTTTGCTAGCACGTGACAGCGAGGGTGATAATACATACCTCCTGGTTATTGCGAGGCTTCTGCCTCTCTCTTTGCAGCTATTTATATGTAACTAATTATTAATGTCATTCTAATTAACCCTAAAGACCTATTCCAATGCCTGCGGGAGGGCTTGGATGCTTAGGAGGAAAGCATTTCCCCAGAGAGTATATAGCTCTAAGATGATAGACTCTGGGGCACAGGGCTAAGGGCTTCTCTGTGTTTGTGCTTCTCAAACTTTGCCACAAAAGTACCCCTAATGGCAGAGGAGTGAAAAATACATCTTCCTGTGGTCTTATGGAAGACTAAAAAGATGTCTTTTCAGTCTCTCTACTCTCTACTCACTAATTTAACTGTTTTTGTCTTTTTTTTTTTAAGTAATGTTTTATACTACTTAAAACACCAGATAAAGTCAACATTACAAGTTGCTGGGCCATGACGTGCTATGGCTTTGTGTCTTCTCTCTCCCTACTGTGGGAGCATGGCCCTTTGCAAGCTGGAAAACGAGGGTAGATAAATCAGAGAGAGATGTGAATGCGTGGGCCAGAGCAAACACGGTGATTAGTGTGACAGTGGACACCTATTTCCAAGTCAGTAGATGCCTATTTCCATAATCTCTCCTATACCTTGTGTATCATTGTCATACTTTTAATCATCTTTTTTGTGTGTCATCCATGGAATACAATTAATCATCTTTCGATGGGAAATTGCCCTTCAGTTTTAGAGCATGCTGCCTTTGTCAGAAACCCAGCAGGCTGTGAAATACTTTTACCACTCTTGCCATATTGTGTGTTTTGACTTAACTTTTTTGTCTTTACTTTTTTGAAGTAGAGAGTATGACTTTCCCAGAGCAGTGTGTTAACATAAACCAAATTAGTTCTGGCATAAGGGATTTTTGTTTTGAAGTTGCCTAGAGGAAGATTTCTTTCTCTTTAATTCACTGAGCCACCATAGCACTGCTGGCTGGGGTGTTCAGCTGGTGGACGGTTCTCCCTAAGTAGATTTGAGAAGTAGTTGCTGCCTGCTGGTTCAGACACAATACTGTCCCTGTTCTCTCTTCTTCCCCCTCTGTCCCAGAAGAGGGCCTGCACCTGATCCTCTGTAATTCATATTGAAGTCTGCAGGGGTCCTGGCTTAAGTTCTGTTTAGAAATGCAAAGCTATTGCATTAATTTATACCTTAGGGAGAAAGAGAAGGAAGGTAAAACAGCCTAGGAAAACAGTGTTTGCAGAGTCCTTTGTGGGTGATGGGGTTTAAATTGCATCTGTTCTAAAATACACTAAAGTACAGGAGGTTGGAGCATATTTTAAATCCCACTGCACAAGCTATTAAGGCATTCTTGCTCTTGTTCTTGGGGTGAGAGGACTCTTTTTAAGGGATTTCTAATAAAGTATTTTTATGTGATTAAAGTGCTTGTAACCTTGAGACTCTTGAGTTGCAAATCTTATCCTCTTCACATGTGACTAGTCTTCTCAAAACAACTGAGCTTTTTCCTCTTCCTTTAGCGAAGGCTTGTCAAATCTCTTGAAGATCTTTGCTCCCAGTATGACCTGACAGTCCGAAGCTCTACTGGCGATATTATCCAGTTCATTTATGGAGGAGATGGCTTAGATCCTGCAGCGATGGAGGGAAAAGATGAACCTTTGGAGTTTAAAAGGGTTCTGGACAACATCAAAGTAAGACTTAGCATTATATCTGGGGATAGAGTGTTTTTAAGGATGTTTCTTTAGGATGGAAGTACAGTTTGAACTGTCACTTCCAGTTAATAAATTCTTCAGTTATATCTGCCCAAGCACTGGATTAGTATCTTTTTCATTGTGTCACTCTGTATAATTTTCCAATATTAAAAGGGAAGGGCCATGCACAATGGCTCATGCCTGTAATCCCAGCACTTTGGGAGGCCAAGGCAGGAGGATCACTTGAGGCCAGGAGTTTAAAACCAGTCTGGGCAATAAAGTGAGACCCCATGTCTATTAAAAAAAGAAGAAATATGTGTGTGTATATATATATATATATACACATATTTCTTCTTTTTTTAAATTTCCAATATCAAAAGGAAAAGGTCAGGCACAGTGGCTTACACCTATAATCCTAGTAATTTGGAGGCCAAGGCAGGAGGATCACTTGAGGCCAGAAGTTTGAGATCAGCCTGGGCAACAGAGTAAAATCTCTATCTCTAAAAAATACTTTTTAAAACATTAGCCAAATATAATGATAAGCACCTGAAGTCCCAGCTACTCAAAAGGCTGAGTGAATCCTTAAGCCCAGGAGTTTGAGGTTAGAGTAAGCTGATCTCACTGCTGCATTCCAGCCTGGGTGACAGAGCAAGACCCTGTAAATCATTAACTACAATTTTAAAGTTTTAACTACAAACTTAAAAACTTTAAATGTATTTCCAGAGAATAATGATGAGTAAAAAAAAAAAAAAAAAAAAAGATGAAAAAACAATCGTGTTAGTAGTAATCAAATGCCAGCAGAAGAGGGCTTTGTTTGGTCTCTTTCTGTGTCAAGTGGAGTGTACTAGAGACCAGTTTTGTAAGTCATGGGTGTTGAAAAGCGGGCACACTTCACATACTTTGAGAATATAACTTGGAACAACCTTTTTGGAGAGTAGTTGGACTATATCATTCTGAACTTTAAATATAAGTCCCTTTCGACCCAATAGTTTCCCTTACAGAAATTCCTTTTGCCCTTTAGAAATGGTCTAATTATGCCAAGAAAGTTTTTTCCAGGCTATTTACAGTAGAGGCAAACCATCAGCAGAGGATAGGTCAAATACATAATGGTATGTCTATACAAAGTAATAATAATGTAGCCATTAAAATGTTGAGTCAACTGGACAAAGCAGAGGAGGAGAAAAGAGGAAATCAGCCAGGTGCAGTGGCTCACATCTGTAACCCTAGTTCTTTGGGAGGCCAAGGTGAGCAGATCACTTGAGGTCAGGAGTTTGATACCAGCCTGGCAACATGGTGAAACTCTGTCTCTCCTAAAAATACAAAAAAATTAGTCAGGCATGGTGGCATGTACCTGTAATTCCAGCTACTCTGGAGGCTGAGGCAGGAGAATCACTACTTGAACCTGGGAGGCAGAGGTTGCAGTGAGCCAAGATGGAACCACTGCACTCCAGCCTGGACGACAGAGCAGGACTCCATCTAAAAAAAAAAAATTCGAGCGCAGTGGCTCACGCCTGTAATCCCAACACTTTGGGAGGCCCAGGAGGGGAGATCACGAGATCAAGAGATCGAGACCATCCTGGCCAACATGGTAAAACCC